ATAAATACACTACCTGAAACTTTTCCATGCTCCATAACCTTGAAACACTTATTTGTCAAATCATGTAGGGTGGGTTCAGTTGAGTGCAAGGGTCTAAATCCTGACTGGCAACTAGGAATGAGTTTATTTTCTTCAAGATACGTGTATACTGACGAGTGCACCCACCTTTCCAAAATCATAGGGACAATTGGCAGTATAGAGATAGGACGATAATTGCTCACACTACGTTTGTCTCCTCACTTGTGAATTGGTGTCACCAGAGCATGTTTCCAGTCTTTGGGATATCTCCCACATGTGATGGAGAGGTTAAAAATATGTGTTAGACATTTGACATGATATTTGCTTTCGAACAAATTCTTCTGTAATGTGAGGTATCACGCATTCATCGTCGAGGGAATCATGGACAGGAGAATCAGCATAATCGTCTTTTCCAGGCTTACCACGTTTTCCAATTGTAGAAAAGTGTTCGTTGAATATCAGCAATGTCAATAGGATCGTCATTGTCTTCTCCAACCTGGACTCCCACGCCTCACCGAGCACGCACCTTGGAATCACTCAAGTTGGAATCCAGCAGTCTTCTGACGACGGAAGGCCAGTTGAAGGCCGGTTCATACTCGCTGCGTTTTCACTCTGTACGCAGCGCGAAGGTCTATCTTGAGATGTCTGCAGTGCCTGATCGGAAGCGCAGTGCGTAATGAAAATGCGCGCCCTTGCACGCAGTGGGTAAAAATAACGGATAGTGCGTACGCACCAAATGTATGCGTAACGTTTGTCGGATAGGCACACGCAGCCGAGACTTGAGAAAAGGTAAAGTATGAACGTCACGAAGCGTTCACGTTACGGGCTGCGTGTGTGCAAACGCAGCAAGTATGAACCAGGCCGGAGAGAGCACTCACTGCCCGAATCGTCGAGTACTGGTTCTTTTCAGAACCACACGCACTCACAAAAAAGATAATCCACATGGTGTCTCCGCAAACCTCCTACCTATCGTAGATCCACCATGCAAACCTTCAAGCATTAAAGTAGGGACTGCTTCCGAAATGGAGAAACACCTTCAAATTAAGTGTTGGGCTAGTTTTTTTCAGGTCTCACCCAACCGCACTCCCTCCTGAATTCAAAAGTATATGCACAAGCATACATTATTACAAGAATACTTTTCCTCTGCTACGTGTGGAAGGGGGGCCATTTACAAATGCCTTGAAGTTCACACTAAAACTATGTGGCGGTTGTATAAACCACGGAATACTTTAACAGGTGTTTTCCATTGATTCGAAACAAGAACAATAACAGCAACAACACACTGAATGGTACTGCATATTATTCTGTTGCCAAATTTCTAGCCAACCTTCTTAATCCACTCACTACCAATGATTATGTGTTGAAAGATTCCTTCGATGCTGCTCAGCGTATTAGGAACATCCCTTCTCACTTGCATACTGATGGATTTAAATTTGTTTCCTTTGATGTTGTTTCATTGTTCACAAATGCACCTATCACAAAGGCTATAGACATAATCCTTCATCGAGTCTATGACAAAAACCTGATATCCACTGATTTAAAGAAGAACACCCTCCGCAAGCTACTGAGGGACACTTGCACCAAAACTGTATTCTCATGTAATAATGAATTGTACCAACAGACTGATGGCGTTTCCATGGGATCACCACTAGGACCAGTCTTAGCCAATATATTTATGACCGAACTAGAAGAAACAATTATCCCTAAGCTTGAAGATGAAGGTATTATCAAGTTTTACACACGCTTTGTTGATGACACACTTATCCTTGCTAAGCT